TCATTGAAACCAAGGCGCGCCCTCTCATCGCCCGTTTTCCTTGCGCTGAATCCCTCCCGATCCCTTTTCTCGTCTGCCTTCCCCACGAGCTCCTCTCCTGCGTCTCACCAATTTACTCGCGATCGGACGGGCCCCGTCACCCGATGAGCTAGGAAGGACAAAGCTTCTTCTTTGCGATGGTACAAATAAGTTAATCCTCGAATCAGCACCTGCAACTACGCTACACTTCACTACTATCAGCCACACACATACCACGCCTACTTTGCCAACGAATCCACCGATCTCGGGAACATACACAGGCACCGAAAGGGATAGAAAGAGGAGGAATCATCTATAACACAGGGCATCGACGGTGTCTCCGCCATGCATATCATTAAGCCCGTTTGGCTGACACATGGGGGTAATGTTTTCCTTCCTTCCTCTCTCTTTCCTCCCTTTTGGGTCCCTGCCAGACGATAAATAGATGCGTTGTCAAGGATATTGTATTCTATCTGTTGTTATCCTGGCATTGACGCAACCTTTCTTCTTGTTTCTTAACTTTCACAATCAAAGTATTCATTCATCGGCTAACGCTCTTCCCTTTTTATCTTGTTATACAGGCGAACGGAAGGATTTCGAAGTCTATAGTTGTGATGTATCCCCCGATGGGAGTCGCTTGGTGACAGCTGCTGGAGGTCAGTTCCGGATCATATTACATATCCCTTTTACCTACGATTGTTTGCGGGTTCGAAAGCTATGGAATCATTCATTGACAAAGTTGTATGTACGATACAGATGGATACGTTCGGATATGGTCAACAGAGGCGATCTGCAACACCGACGACCCGGAACAAGCCAGTAAGCCGAAACAGCTGGCGTCGATGAGCAATCACTCTGGAACGATACATACGGTGCGGTTCTCGCCAAATGGGAAATACCTTGCCTCGGGGGCGGATGATAAGATTGTGTGCATTTATACATTGGATGCGAATCCGCCGTCTCATGCGTCGACGTTCGGTAGGTGATGCGAGTGGCTTGGTGGTTGTGGATACGGTTTGGGGTGGTGTTGACTGATGTTTTTGCGTGTTTAGGGTCAAACGAGGCACCTCCTGTGGAGAACTGGCGCACGATTCGGAGATTGATCGGTCATGATAATGATGTTCAGGATCTGGGATGGTCGTACGATTCTTCGATATTGGTTTCGGTTGGGCTGGATTCGAAGGTTGTCGTGTGGTCGGGGACTACGTTTGAGAAGCTCAAGACCCTTTCTATTCACCAGAGTCACGTCAAGGGCATTACATTTGATCCGGCGAATAAGTACTTTGCTACAGCTAGCGACGATCGCACTGTTCGGATCTTCCGCTTTACGTCCCCTGCACCGAATTCCAGCGCTCATGACCAAATGAACAACTTCGTCCTTGAGCAGACTATCTCCGCGCCATTTTCGAATTCCCCTTTGACAGCCTACTTCCGCCGGTGTTCCTGGTCGCCAGATGGTATGCACATCGCAGCGGCCAATGCGGTGAACGGCCCCGTCAGCTCGGTTGCGATCATCAACCGGGGCTCGTGGGATGGCGACATCAATCTTATTGGGCATGAAGCACCGGTCGAAGTCTGCGCTTTCTCTCCGCGATTGTACTCGCCCCAACCGATCACCAAACCGGCAGTGGATAGCCAAGGCCAGGTGGTGCACAACTCCGTCACGGTTATTGCATGCGCGGGCGGTGATAAGTCACTCAGCATTTGGATCACCAGTAACCCGAGGCCTATCGTGGTTGCCCAAGAACTGGCTGCCAAGTCCATTTCCGACCTGGCATGGAGTCCGGATGGCAAATGCCTTTATGCAACTGCCCTCGACGGCACAATCCTTGCCGTGCGGTTCGAAGATGGGGATCTAGGCTATGCGATGGAGATGGAGGAGAATGAAAGATCGCTTACCAAGTTTGGCACGAATCGAAAGGGCGCCGGCATCACCGAGACCACGGACGGATTGCTTCTTGAGGAGAAGAGTAAAGCTGGAGAGATCAAGGGAGTCGAAGGTCGCATGGGTGCTTTGATGGGTGACGATCATGCAGCTGCAGACAGCACGGCCGATGGAAAGCCTGGCTCAGGAGCATCGAATGGTGTCACGCCAGCTCGAGCAGCCTCCCCTACGCCGGATACACAAAAGTCTCAGCCGAACGGAACCGCAGGCACGCCCGCAGCACAGGAGCCGGAGAAGCCTGATCCATACCAGGTAAAGCTGGAAAGGCTGAAGCAGCGTCCGACGTATACGAAGGATGGAAAGAAGCGAATCGCCCCCCTTCTGGTATCGGGTGCTGGAGCGGCCGAATCCTCTCTTCCACAAGCCCGACTCATGGCGTCGGTCAGTAGCCAAGTCAAGGCCGACACACCGCAATCGATTGTGGACCTCTCCAAGCCTTTCGATGGGCTACCCAAGGGTGGTCTGGCAGCGCTGCTTTTCGGAAACAAGCGCAAACTCGCTCAGTTAGAAGGGGATGACGATGGGCAGGTTGAGAAGCGCGTGGCGCTGGCCAGCCAAAACGGAGCCACCCCGATTCTGGCAAGCACGCCCGACGGTCTACTTCCAGCTCAACCGCAGCCCGCTCCCACCGGTCAGCAACAAACGCCAGAGTTCATTCGACCAGCTGTTATGAATCCTTGCATGGCAATCAGTCAGCTTCGGTTGGCGGTACCGAAGGTCCGCAGTCAGATAGTACGAGCCATCGATCCGACTGGGAAACCGACAGAGCCCAATGCGCCGGGGGAAACCAATAAGTCGCGGGTTGACGTGGTTTTCGAAGCACGCAATCCATCTCCGGCCAGCTTAACGGGTCGTGCGATTGATCGAGAACCGGTGCGGCTCACGCTTTTCCGTGGCGAGCAGCCCCTGTGGCAGGACTTCCTCCCGCGCACTGTTCTTCTGGTAACGGGTAATTTGAGCATGTGGGCTGCAGCTTGCGAAGACGGATCGGTATACATCTGGACGCCAGCTGGGCGTCGGCTGGTCAGCGCCTTGGTACTCGAGGCACAGCCAGTGATTCTGGAGTGCAATGGTCCTTGGATTCTCTGTATCTCAGCTGTGGGCATGTGCTATGTCTGGAATGTGAAACATCTTTCCTCTCCACATCCGCCTATTTCATTGCAGCCAGTGCTTGATGCTGCCGTTCACACATTGGGCGCACACCCGAGCGCTGCGCCCGCGATCACAAACGCCCGAATCAACTCCGAAGGTCGTGTGGTGGTTGCCTTGTCGAATGGTGAGGGATACTCCTATTCACCGTCCATGTACACCTGGCAGCGGATCTCGGAGTCTTGGTGGGCAGTTGGCAGTCAGTACTGGAACACCACGGAAGCACCTGTGGGCAATCTCCAGTCGACAGACTCGCAGGACAAAGACGCCAAGGCAGCTGTGTCGGCAGGGATTGTTCCCTTCCTGGAGCGCAACACCACGAATGAGACGCTGCTGCGTGGACGTGCCTACTTCCTTCAGCGACTGATCAAGGTGCTGCTGTCGCGGGAGGGCTATGAGAGCTTTGAGTCTAGTGTCTCCATCGCTCACCTTGAGAATCGCCTTGCTGCTGCGTTATCTCTAGGCGCCAAGGAAGAGTTCCGACTGTATCTGTCGATGTACGCTAAGCGGATCGGGGCAGAGGGGCTAAAGATGAAGGTCGAAGAGCTGCTGAAGGGATTGATTGGTGGGCTGTTTGAAGAGGAGGATGCAGACGCGGTCCGCCGGTTACAAGACAACGAGCAGGACGACCGGAATTGGCGCGAAAGCTCCGAGACCCTCTGTGGCTGGCCACGGGAGGTGTTGTTGAAGGAGGTGATTCTTGCTCTTGGTATGTTGTCTTGTTTAATGTGTGATTGACTTATAACTAACGTGGTACAGGCAAACATCGTGATCTTCAACGTGTGACGGTGCCTTATGCGAAGCTGCTGGGAGTTGTGGACAACGAGTCTGAAGCTGGAGATGCCATGGAAACCTAAGTTGGGGGTGGGGGTATCATGTTCGATTGTTTGCTAGGCGTTCACTGGCGTTGACTGGGTATTGATTATTTTATACTAGTCTGGAATGACTGGGTTTATGGGTTGGGATATGGAGGGCATTCATGTCATACTTGCGCTGCTGCTTTGCACACTGTGTATTGTTTCTGTATTATATCACATTATGTTGGTGATGCCTGTGTGGTTGATGGTGTCTCCTGTTTTTCTTCATTGATAGCATTGATGCTTGTTTACTGGAGATGGGTGCGATGCGAAAACCATTTATTTCAGCACTCTTCATGCACTTGATCATGTTGGACTGGAGGGATATATAATAGGACCTTCTCCTTCTGTCACTGACCACAGGATGTATCCTTCTATGACCAAACTTACGGTCAAGCAGAAAGAGCAGTACTGTATGGCGCATTTAAATATACGGTATTCGCGATATTTACTGAATTCTGAATTTCAGAAGTAACGAGGTCTGGCGTGTGCTGAAGATATACTTCCATACTGTATACTGCCACAAATCTGAGGCATCAATACAAGGGCAGGGCTCTCACGTGGGCGGTGAAAGTGAAAAAAAAAAAGGCACACATGAAATTAGCGAAGAACCGGCGTCAATCAAGTCGTCATGGGATGCCAAAGTTACTTACTGTGTAGAGCACCGAATACAAGGAACTGGAATCACTAGAGTTACAGCCCGTCATCCTAACTGCCACCCACCTTGTTCACTGTAGATATACTTTTTCCATATCCATTATCTTCTGCCCACGGCCAAAGTGGGCGTCGCCATCCTGTCTTCCCTCCCGGGCACCCGTTTTCTTTTCCTTTCTTCGTCTCTCCGCTTTCATCGTTCCGCAGCTGGTCCTGCTTCATCCTTTGCTGCTGCTGCTACTACCTTCCCCTCTTTGCGACTCTCGCTTGCTGCTGCTGCTGCTGCTCCTCCTCCTCCTTCTTCTCCGTCCCCGCCCTTCCTCTTTCTTTCCCGCCGCTCCTACTCGAGCAAGAAGAAGAAAGCATCCAAGTCCAAAATGCCCCCCAAGAAGGCCGTCGTTCAAGAAAAGGTCCTGCTGGGCCGTCCAGGAAACAACCTGAAGAGTGGTATCGTATGTGAGCATTGACCCCCCCATACACTATGTGTTTTTTTTTTTTTTCTGCCCCTCCCAGCCTCCTCCCTTTTCGTCTTTTTTTTCCCTTTTTTTTTTTTTTTTTTCAACTTCCCTCCCTCTCCCTCGCTTGTTTCCTTTCCCCCCTATAAATATCTTCCTTTTCCTTTTCCTTTTCTTCCTTCTCTTCTCCTTCCTTCTCAACATGCAATCACCACACACAATGTAATTGCCAAAGAAGGGAAATAATAATGTTTATTCTCTCCTCTCTAGGTTGGTCTCGCCAACGTCGGCAAGTCCACGCTCTTCCAGGCCATTACCAAGTCGTCTCTTGGTAACCCTGCCAACTTCCCCTATGCTACCATTGACCCCGAAGAGGCTCGTGTCATTGTCCCCGATGACCGCTTCGACTGGCTGTGCGAGCACTACAAGCCCAAGTCTCAGGTTCCCGCCAACTTGACCGTCTATGATATCGCCGGTCTGACCCGTGGTGCCTCCACCGGTGCCGGTCTCGGTAACGCTTTCTTGTCGCACATTCGTGCCGTCGATGCCATCTTCCAGGTCGTCCGTTGCTTCGATGATGCCGAGATTATCCACGTCGAGGGTGACGTCGACCCCATCCGTGATCTGACCATCATCAGCGAGGAGCTGCGTATCAAGGATATCGAGTTCGTCGAGAAGGCTCTCGAGAACCTTCAGAAGCAGACCAAGCGTGGTGGTCAGACTCTTGAGATGAAGAAGCTGCGTGAGGAGGAGGCTACCGTTGCCAAGGTGCTCGAGTGGCTCAAGGACGGCAAGGACGTCCGCAAGAACGAGTGGGGTCCCAAGGAGGTACGTTTATTTTTCCTTTCTTTCTGCGCTGCACCTGCACACCTTTCATGATGAATAAGAGTTTTACTCGAAATAACCCAGCTCGTCGAATGTCTCAAATTTTTTTTCCAACGTAGAGGCATCATGAGATTACGTCCCGTCTGATTTACTTGATTATCATTTATTTTGTCATCTGCATCACTGTTTTCGCAACATGCTGATTTGTCTAGGTTGAAACCATCAACCCCCTGATGTTGCTCACTGCCAAGCCGGTTGTCTACCTGGTCAACCTGAGTGAGAAGGACTACATCCGCCAGAAGAACAAGTACCTGCCCAAGGTGTTCGAGTGGATCAAGACCAACTCTCCGGGTGACTCCCTGATCCCCATCTCCGTCTCGTTCGAGGAGCGTCTGACCCGCTTCGAGAGCGATGAGGCTGCTCTGGAGGAGTGCAAGAGCCTGAACACCAAGTCGGCCCTGCCCAAGGTGATTACCACCATGCGTCAGGTGCTGAACCTGGCCAGTTTCTTCACCACCGGTACGGACGAGGTGCGCCAGTGGACCATCCGTAAGGGCATCAAGGCCCCGGCTGCTGCTGGTGTTATCCACACCGACTTTGAGAAGACCTTTATCCAGGCCGTTGTGTACAACTACGCGACTCTGCGTGAGTACGGCGACGAAGGTGCCGTCAAGGCCGCTGGTAAGGTGATGACCAAGGGTAAGGATTACGTTGTGGAGGATGGTGATATTCTGTTGATCAAGGCGGGTGCTGCCCGTGGTTAAGTGGTTAAATTGTTTATATAGCCACCCAATACCATTATCATTTCCTTCAACTTGATGTTTCATTGTAGTAGTCATAACCAGCAAGCAGTAATCAATTAAACCGTAATCTATAGTCATACTCTGTAGTTCATACGTACGTATAGCAGACCTGCAGCTAGCTACCCCACCAACCACGTGACATCCCCCGCAACAGATCTGCGTGAAGATTGCGATAGCCTCCGAATTCACAACATACACCCACCACCAGCAAGATGTTTAAGAAGGAGTGAGTCAAACCAGCATACTTATCACTCAATCAGTTCAATCCATCTATCCCACCACATCCCCTCACTCCTAATCCCTCCTCACCAATTCTCCTCACTACCAATCCTCTTCCTCACCACCATCACAAGCAATCACTAACAAAGAGTACCAGTATCCCCCCGAGCAACCGCTCAAAAGTCAAATCCTCCGTGCAGCGCGGCCTCCGCCAACGGTTCCTAGACACATACCCAGGATTCGAACCCTACATTGAAGAAGTCCTACCGAAGAAGGCCCAACTGGATGCCGTGAAGCTGTACGCCCCCAAACCTTTATACCCCACCCCTCTCCTTACGAAACAGCAAGCTAACTAACCCATCCCTCCGGGATGATAAATGGAATAATAGTCCGGAAAGATCCACCCTCTACACCCACGAAAACACCCCCTTATTCTACCAACCGCTCGACGGCCCACCCATCCCGCACCTGAAACTCATCCACGCGTACCCGGACGCCCTGCCCACGATCCAGATCGACCGGGGAGCTATTCGGTTCGTGTTGTCTGGTGCGGCGCTCATGGCGCCGGGGTTGACGAGTGCTGGGGGGAGATTGCCCGATGTGGAGAGTGGGGAGAAGGAGATAGCTGCTGGAGAGGTTGTTGCGGTTAAGGCGGAGGGGAAGGAGACGGTTTGTCTGGTGGGTGTGTTGAAGGTCGGTACGGAGGAGATTAAGAAGGTCGGGAAGGGGGTCGTGCTTGATGAGGGGCATTTTCTTGGGGATGGGTTGTGGAGGTATCATCTTGATTAATTGGTATTTCCCCGGAGGGGAATTGGGGAGGGGAGAGGGGGTTATACCAGTGTGATTGGGGTTGGGTGTGGCTATGATATGACTTTTTATTATTATGTTTGTATGTGAATGAAAAAGTGTCTATGTCTTCTGTTATTCTCTCTTGAAGGTGGTATTATGTACATTTGTATGTAGTTAGCTATGACGATGATTCAGGTCGCGGTGATAATGATGTCGGTGAGAGTGATGACCATGACGGCGTGCGGATCGCCAGTCCTAGTCCCTTCACGCTCGTTCCTGATCCGTTCAGTCCCGTCCCTGGGAGATTGCCATCTCTCAATCCCGCGCGCGTCACGGCCCGTTGCAGCATATCGCCTGATCCGTCGAGCGCGATCAAAAACCGGGCCAGCTCTGCACACAGCTCCCAGTCGTTCTTCCGCGATGCGAGGTACATCAGACGGACGACATAGTCCTCGATAGGCGAGTCGTGGTCGTCGTCTTCGTCCTCGAATGCCTGCAGCACTAGAAGATAGCCTACTGCTGTTTTGAGCGAGTTGAGCTTGAGTGCTTGCTCGAACAGATCCTTCGGGGGAGGAAGGTATGTAAACAGGGTTCGCCAGGAGCGGAGTTCTGTTTTGCGCGTGCACTGGACGACAATGTCTAGGTATACGGTGGCGGGCAGGGAAGCTTGGAGGAACGATATGACCGTCGGGAGGAGGGGGCTGTGTTTCTGTGATGGGTCGTCGGTCTTGCTGTCCTTGCTGGCGTTGTCGACCTCGTCGTCGAGGACGTGGTGCAGCAGGACTTCTAAGGCGTGTGGAAAGTAGGAAAGGTGGGAGAAATGCTGACACAACGACAGTGCTGCTGGCATGTCGCCATGTGTCAGGCTATGTTGGAGGAAGTATGGAAGGAATAGGTGTGTCTATATCGTCAGCAACAGTCTTAAAAACCAAAGGACAACTTACTCGGATGGCAAATTTCAGCACAGAGAACGTGACATCGCGGCGCTGGGTCATCTCTGCCTCCACTCCCAGCACGATGCCCTTATTCAGTAGAACTGACAGAGGGTAGAAGTCCAGTGGTACCTCGAGCGGCTTCGCTACGTCTTCCCGGTGCAGCACATCCTGCACATCGCTCCATGAAAGGAGTTCTTTCCCGCAGAACGTCCACAATGAGTCCCGCAGCGACAAGTTGCTGTGATACATGTTCAACGCCATCTCGGCTGCCGGACTAGCCGGGACTGACTCGTCCACAGACGGCGCAAAGTTGAAGGACAGCTGGTCCCTCATTAGAATGTAGTACTCGACTTCGTGCGATACCACGCGCATGTCGTACTTTAGCTCTCCAGTCTCCGACGTCGATGGTTGCAGCAGAACCAAGTTGCCGTCGACCAACAAGAGCACTGATGCGACCTTGACATCCTGTGATGGATCGCCATTACCTACTGCAGTCAGTATACGTAACCACCCAGAAGCAGCACACTTACGCATCTGATCCTCAGGCAAAATCCAGCTGATCGCTCGCACGCGGGTCGGTGCCCGCACGATGCCATGAAAAGCAATCTGACCAACCGGGACTAGCGTTATTCGTGAGTGTGCAGAGTTGATGATGTAGTGGTAGAGGATATTATCATAGGTATAGACAAGAAGGGAGTCTTCGCCCGATGGTCCAATGAAGACAACAGGCGAAGGAAGGTATTCTATATGCAAGATTGTGTGGTTGTTCAAGGGACTCTCTCGGGAGTAGAGCCGGAGCTGTGACGATAATTAGTACTTGGTGCACACTCATCTCTGTTGACTCACCTCATAAGATCCATCGTTGTCGATGGCAGCAATCAGAATGTGTCCGTACCAGCACATGCCGCCTCTGACGGCAAACGAATTCTCAATCTTGGAGTCCTCAAACACTCGCCAGCGGCCGCTGTTCACGCTATAGTGTGCAAGTCCACGCCGGCCAGCAATGGCTACGTACCTCCCGTCCTGCGAGACGACGCTGGAGCGAATGGGCCACTGGGAATGCAGATAGGATGGAGGATATTGCGCATGGTGCCAGAGCGAATCCTTACCCGAGATAGTCATGAGATCGGGTAGGTCGTGGCCGCGGTAGAGAATAATCTCCGTCCCGGTTTGCAAGAGACCCCGAGCCAGGTTCGCAGAAGAGTAGCAGCCCGTCAAGGCGCTGCGAGCGGTTTCCAGTATCCACAATCGACGATCATTCTGACCCGTAAGGATAATTTCAGCCCCCCCGCCTATCCAGCAGCCGTGAGAAACCCCAGTCACCCAGTCCTCATCGTTCGACTTGGCAAGAGTCCGATCTGCCGTGAAGCTGGTCCCACCGGGCTTGCCAAACACACTCCATGTCGTCCATCCACGCTCATAGCCTGCAAAGAGGCAATAGCCGTCGGGCGAATAGGACATGAATGACAGATTGCCGGTTGTAGCAAGGGAAGCTGGCAGTTGAAGCCGATGCGAGAGAGGAACATTCCCCATGTAGTCTTTAGCCGTGTATACCAGAATATCACCGTTCGCGCAGTTGACAGTAAGAAGCGAGAAGCGGGCATTGACTGCAACCTTCATGGCTTTCGTGCCCCCATCCTCAGGGTTGTGGAAGCAATGTCCTTGGAAAAGCTTCTTGGGAGTCTCCGAATCCGTTGTGCCTTCCGGAACGCGCTGGACGGCATACGCCTGGCCTTCGTTGGTAATCCATACTAGCAGATTGATAGCTCGATCATACACCATATCCGTAATAGATGTGCGCTTGGACACACCCAGGATACGGCTCAGAAGCTCAGACTGGGTCTGTGAGCCGTCTGCATCAGGCATCCATCGGATGCACTGAATGGCGGCTGGCTTCACCGTGGCGACGACGAGTTCATTATCCAGCGCAAGAGCTTTCGCAATGCCCGACTCTATCTTGATCGCCATTCTAAAGCGAATGCTGACATCTCGAATCCCAGTAGCCTCTTCCTCGGCTGTTAAGCGCGCAAGCTGCTGACGGCGAGTCGAACTGGTCTGATCGAAGTGGTGCTGATAAACACGAGTGGTAGGGCCAACAGCAATCGTATACGTCAAAAGGTATCCATTCAGCGTCTGAGCAACGAGAATAGTCGAATCCGGGTGCATCAGGAGAGCTACATTAGGCCCATAGTTCTCCAGGGAAGAGGCGGACCGAGCAACCGCAGCTACAACAGCGGTGGGCTAACTGCTAGTCAACATGCGCATCTTACAAGTTTCAAGAATAGGAACCTACTCTAGTCTGCCATATAGCAATTGACGAATCAGTCATCGTCGCAAACATGAACCCACTCCTGGAAACGCAAAGCCCCGTAATGGGCTCATCCGCCCAGGCCGAGTCCGTCGTCCCCGTCGGTTTGTCGGCTTCATTTTCTCTCAACGACAAACCCTGCTCCGCAGAGCTCTCGTACTCTATTGAATCATCATCTTCGGAGATCGTAACCGGGATTGCAGGGCCATTGATCGCATAGACCCGGGGAACTCCATTGGGCCAGTACATGGCTCGACACAGGCGCGAGAGTCACGGAGTATATCAACAAGTTCACATCGAGTCATCTTCGTCAGGCGCGGAAAACTTAAACCGTCGGAGTCGGGACAGATGCGATCCCGCGAGTACCGACCATATCCACCCAAGAGTCTCACTGACTGCGATGGATGAAGATGACGGTTGGGAACGTGGATATGGATTGGATCCAGCTCGGGAGCACGGGGTATCACGTGCAGGGAAGCTCCGGTGACAAACAGACCAAACATCCTGCAAGCCCCCGCATCCAATTTCCCCCCGCGACGCCTTTGCTTTGCTCGTGATAAGACATTTCCGTTCTCTGTGATACCCCCTTATACCTCACACAATGGTAAGATTGATTTTTTGCGCAGCCGATCATTCTGTAGCTATGATCAGAACCTAACTTCCCTCTCTCTAGGCTCCCACAGAGTCCAAGAAGCGCCTCGCGCTTGCCATCATTGACTTCCTCGGTGCCAGCTTGAAGGATGGCACCCTGACCGCCGATGATGCCGAATCCATCGAGATCGCCCAGTCCTGTATCGCCGATACCTTCAAGGTTGATCCCTCCAACGAGGCTGCTGTGAAGGATGCCGTGGGTGGACAGTCCCTGGCCAGCATCTACAGTGTCTACGAGAAGCTTCGCAACAAGCCCACCGGCGACTCTGCCAAGTCTGCCGAAAGCCAGAAGCCCGCGGCTGGCGCTCCCACCCCCGAGTCCGATAAGCTGAAGTCCGAGGGTAACGGTGCCATGGCCCGCAAGGACTACACCACCGCTATCGACCTCTACACCCAGGCTCTGGCTATTGCTCCCTCGAACCCCATCTACCTCTCCAACCGGGCTGCTGCCTATTCCGCGGCTGGACAGCACGAGAAGGCGGCCGAGGATGCCGAGCTCGCCACTGCTGTTGACCCCAAGTACTCCAAGGCCTGGAGCCGTCTGGGACTGGCTCGTTTCGACCTGGCTGATTACCACGGTGCCAAGGAGGCCTACGAGAAGGGTATTGAGGCCGAGGGCAACGGTGGTAGTGAGGCCATGAAGCGGGGTCTGGAGACTACTAAGCGCAAGATCGAGGAGGCCAAGCGTAGCACCGAGCCTCCCGCTGATGCTGTTGATGATGCTGCTGGTGCTTCCCGTGGTGGTGGCGGTATGCCCGATCTCTCTTCCCTTGCTAGCATGCTCGGAGGTGGAGGTGGTGGCGGCGGCGGTATGCCCGACCTTAGCTCCATCATGAGCAACCCTATGTTCGCCAGCATGGCCCAGAACCTGATGAGCAACCCTGACATGCTCAACAACCTCATGAGCAACCCCCAGCTGAGACAGATGGCTGAGAACTACGGTCGTGGCGGTGGTATGCCCGACATGTCCTCTTTGATGAGTGACCCCAACATTGCCGATATGTAAGTGACATGGCATACCTGGTCTACTGTATTGCAACTAACATGTATCTCCCAGGGCTCGGAACATGATGGGCGGTGGTGCCGGACGTGGAAACCAGTAAACGGGATATCCTATATGTGTTAGTGTTTCGGAGCTTTATTTGTTCATTTCATCAAAAACCATTGTCGCGCTCTCGATCTCGTATACGTGCAATGTATGATCATCTTAATTATGGAAGCGAATAGACACACCGCTATACTTGTCTGACAAATCTGTCTTGTTATGAGGAACATATTTCTTCGTTTCACAGCTGTATTTACAAAAACTCATAATGATCCACTTCATGTCGCCAGATTCAGGCCACATAACACCTAGACTCGCTTATCAAAACCACCAGAGAGGCCTAACGGCCACTCAACATTAAGGAACAAGACAACAAGCACTGAGCCAATGCAAAGATTTCATCAGAAGAGTGGAGGGTGGGGTTGCAAAGCGAGTAAACATGACTCCCGAAACGCCCGAATGGAAGCACAAGGCCCACTGCGCAGATGTATATATATGATATACTCTTTTAGCGGACGCCAGTGAAGCTGGATCGGAGTCCAGCAGAGGGTGAGTGAGGATATCACAAAAGTGGGAGAAGGATGGTAAGAAAGGCGCCCAGCGAGATTAATCAAGTTACTATCACAGACGGTTCCATGAAGCGCCAGTTCCGCCTGGTCTCTATTTTAACAAAAATCAATATTGTACAGTCGGATGATATCAAAACAATCGAGAAGAGAATAGAGGCATGTCATAGACCAAAATCAAGCAGGTGTTGTGATCGTTGAGCGTCGAGGTAGGCGAGGGAGGTGTAAGAAGGATATTTCGAATGGCTTAGATGTAGTCACGAGCGGCCTTCTGCAGCTCGATCAATCTCCAACCCCGGGTCTCCGGGTTGTTGACATCCTCGGGTATCCGTGTCAGACCGATGGCGTAGGTGACCAGCTGGACCTTATCCTCCATGCCGGCAGCCAGCTCGCCCGTCTTCACGTTCTTGTAAACGTGAACCTCCTGGGAGCGGCAAGTCACAACGAACACGGGGATGTCGCCGGGCTCCAGCATGCGGGCGTGGGAAACATCAACGCCACGGACATCGAGGATACGGCCATCCGACTTGAGGCCGGCAGTAGTGTACTGCTGGGCAAGAGCAGCGTAGACATGGAACTGAGCATCGGAGAGCCACAGCTTCAGGGTCTCAACGTCTCCCTTGACGTAGGCGTCAAGCACTTCGGGCAGGATGTATTCACGCATCTCTCTGAGGAAGGCTTCCATCTGGAAGTTGGGGTCCATCTCACGGAACTTCTTGATGACACGGGCGGTCTCGTTCTCGGCGAAGAAACCAGCAACACGGTCGGAAATGCTGCGCGCGGTGCTGATCAAGGGGTTCTCCGACTCCTCGTAGGACTCCTTAAGGGTGAAGAGCTTCTGCATCATAGGGTTGGAGTCCTTAAAGTCGCGCCACGATTCCTTCCAGGCAGAGTCCTTGTGGAGGGTGACATGGGTTCCGGCACTAGAGTGGATAACTGTTAGAGAGATCTTTGACATAATTTACTGAACATGACTCACTTGGGATCCTCAACCATCGGCTCGACACGGCGACCAGCCTTGAGCTCAGCCTCTTCACGCAGCTTGCGCTGCTTCCGACGCTCCTCCTTCTCGATGTAACCACCGTAGCGGGAGCTGCTACCATCATCGATGGCATTCTTCACACCACCCACGGCACTCTTGTAAGCCTCGGTTTCTCTGACAGGTCTTGTGACCTTCTCAATACCAGAGCCAGTGACGTTGACACCCTTTCTGATACCCTTGACAACAGGAGTGTTCCAGGTCCATGCGGCACTAGTGCCAATGGCCTTTCCGGTGGTCTTGATGGCAGTCGCAGTCTTGGAGGTGGCGGCTCCAGAGGCGGCTTCATAAGCGGCACGAGCCTTCTTGATGTTCTCGTTCTCGGAGAACTGGTGAGCAGACGAAGCAAGAGCCTTTGTCGACTCATTCCACTCCTTCGAAGCCTTGAACTCCGTCTGGAGAGTCTCTCTGAACACCTGCCAGGGAGTCTTGTCACCATGGGGTGGCGGCGGAGGCGCATCCTTCTTTCCTTCCTTCTTCGACTCCCCTTCGCCCTTCTCCTCTTTCTCCTGGTTGGGCTCTTCCGACTGCTTCTCCTGCTTTTCTTGTTGCTCCTGCTTATCCTTCTGCTGCTGCTGTTGCAAGCGAGGGGCGACGACGTGGAAGGATCTGGTCAGAGGGAGAGCAGCGAACGGGGAAACGAGTTGAGAAACGGGACGGTCCGCGCGCTGGCTGTTCAAGAGGGTGTTTCGTGATGTAGCGTAAGAGCAGGACTGAATCAAAGAGCGCTGGGACACAGCAGCGGTCTTCAGAGTCGGCACCTGAGACCGTAGGGTGGCCGCCCGCGCGGTGACCGACATCCTGGTAGCCGAGATCATGCTATGCGACTATTAAAACAAGAACCGAATTAAAACCAAGGAAAAGATAAGATCTGCGTGTTCGCCAACCCCGAAGATAAGGTGGGAGGACTGAGTTGAGGCTGAGGTTGAAGGGGGAGGTGAATGAGGAAGAGCGAGGAAGCGATGTCGGCAGCTGGTGTCAGAACGAGCGAGAAGGGAAAAAAGTTGAGATGCTGGACGCCAAGCCCGTCGAAAATTCGGCCCTTTTCCGCCGCCCTGTCGTTCCGGCCCAGACTTGCGCCGCATCTTCGACTTGGAGCCACCTCCGGCTATTTGCAATCACGACAATTTCCATTGTCCGTCCGGAGTTGATTTTCATCTTGCTCCGCGTTCAATAACGTTGGCTGGTATATCGGTCACGTTCGGTCCTTTCACCCGCAGCTGAGCCGTACCTCCCCGGCATCCTCCTCGATTGACGACACCGCAAAGATGAACTCGACATTCGTTACTGCCCTGTCGAGGGCTCTGCCTACCGTTGGCCGCTCGTGTCAGATCCGTGCCCCTGCTTTTCGTCTTACGAGACCCCTCTCATCGACTCCCGCAATTCTCGAAAGCGCAAAGGATAAGACCCGTCAAATCGAGAGAGAGATTCTGAACACCCCTGCGGAGAAGCAACCCGCCCAAGAGAATGCATCATTCTCTGCGATCACCAAGATGATGCAGGGTGAGAAGGTTCGCTCAAACCAGGGCGTGAGTCGCGACTACTCCCGGATGGCCGAGAGCCTGGAAGCAGAGTTGATCAACCAGCCGTATGCCGATCGGTCTCCTCCTTACCACCTACATGTCTACTGCCACAAGCACAACACCATTATGACATTGACACGGCCGAATGGAGACCCAATGTTGGCTAAGAGCTGCGGTCACCTTGGATTCCGCAAGTCTAAGCGTTCGGGTTACGAAGCCGCCCACCAGCTGGCGTCGCACGTCTTTGGCCAGATACAAGAAAGGGGCTTTTTGTTGGAAATCAAGCGCTTGGAAATTATCTTCCGTGATTTCGGACAAGGCCGTGAGGCTGTCACCAAGGTTTTGCTCGGTAACGAAGGACGGAACATCCGCGGCTTAGTTTGTCGGGTGACGGATTCCACCAGACTCAAGTTTGGTGGTTCGAGAAGCCCCAGGGTTCGCCGTCTTGGTTAAGGGGGTGCATTCTGTTGACGAAGTTTGTTATGTCGTTCTGACGCGGGTAGAAGTGCTTTGCTAGAACGTCTGGGACAAGAACACGGGCATGCTTTCATGATACCTGATGATGGGATGGGATTGATCAGAGATGCCCCGGAATAGGTTCTTCTCAGTCCAACCATATGGCTACCCTACACTGTATCAACTGAACCGTTCTTGTTGGGTGGCAATAGTTCGGGCAATGGTTCAGGGTTCAGGGTCCAGCTCCTTTTCTCTATTTGTATACTAGCCAGCCTGTTCCCGGCATATATGGGATTATTTTTTTTTAGGATGCGAGTTTCTACGGGTGCAATGTATATCAATTCAAAGTTTCTCCTAGCAAGAATTTTATGAATGAAGGCGTGTAGTTGGGATCTCCATAAAAGCGAGGCAGGCTGAGATCTAGGCCGACCCAAAGGGGGATAGCGCGAGGAGCTCCCAGGACTGCCACTCCGAAAGCTGTTGGCTGAGATCCCCCTCTTGTCCTCAACAACTCCCTCACTCTCACTCGTCGTTCAGCTTATGCTTCTAGCCCTGTCCATCGTGACGTTGACTTCTGTCTCTTCCGACTGGTTCTTTGCGCTTGCTTCCTAAGCTCTTTCGTTGAGACTGCACTGTATCCGATTACCTGCGGGCGCATGCGCCGGAGCTGCTCCTCTGCGACGATCGAGCAGCGGATCCCCCCCCTTCGAGACCGGTCTAGACGGCTTCATGAGTGCCTGTGATTCTGTGTTGGGCCGTCGTCCAAGACCGTTTGGATGCACCCTCTAAATCCCTTTCTCCGTGCCTTCTTCCGAAGCACAGTTCCGGGGCAGTGTATACCCACCGAGAATCATGTATGTCCCGCCAACTCTATCGGCTTCGGTCTGAGCCCAGCTTCTGACATGCCAACTTTAGGTCCTCCTAGTACCTGTCACGGAATCGCTGGTCGGCTCGCGTGACCGCGAGTCATCCCTTTACTACTCCGATCTCGTCGTATCCGAAGAATTCTTGGGAAGCCATACCTTGCGAATACCAGTGTCCACCGGGGCCGGCGGGGGAAAGGATGACTCAAATATACGAGATAGCCGGGGCAAGGCCAAACAAGTGACGACGGTCAACGGGCGCACGGTTATTATCAAGGAGAACTCGGTGTACAGTAACAAAGGTGGGAAAGCGTCCGGCTAGTCTCCTGAGTGGCACATGCGCTGACCCTTGTATTTAGGCTTCAAGTCCCTGAGCCAAGCCCAGCTGTTATCCGATGCGCTGTACTACAACAACAGCAACGATTCTCAACCATGGCTGATCTACTACATCTCACGGCCGTTGATCGGCTCATTCGATCCCGGAAAGATCGTCACTGCTGTAGTGCCGGGCATGCTACCAAAGCGCGATATCATAGGCAACGGCATGAAGTCAAGCGAGTCCGTTTCGTCGCCACCGAAGAAGGAGATTAAGACATTTGGAGAACTCCTCGCGCACTTCCCGATGATTGCCCGGCAGATGCAACCTGGATTGGAGAGATTGTTCAAGGAATTTGGAAAGGAGCTGGGGAAACCGTTGCCACCTCCGCCGTCTCGTTCGCCCCTCATATTCGACGAATACGAACGGAAGCAGAACAACAACGAGATAACCGCCGACGAATCTGCTTCTATCCGTAGCTCAGCTTCTCGCAATAGGGAGGGCCTACCCTTCAACTCCGAAGAGTA